GTGAATTATTGAACCCAAGGAAGTAGGAGGAGCCCATAGGTCAACAGTGAGCAGGGAGTCTTGGGGACCCCTGCACTTATGGCTGACCTTCTGAAAGAGGCTAGGAATTCCTCCAAACTTGCAGCCAGCAGGTCAGCTTGTAGCTGGTATCTGAGCTCTTGGACAGACTCGGTAGTCTGGAGGACTGTGACATTGCAGTTGTGAGATCTGACCTAGCTTCCTAGTGGTTAGGATCAGAGGAAGAAGTACAGCAGTATTGTAGTTAATGTGAAAAGTGGAATTAATATATAAATCACATTGATTTGATCTATACATTTGATGTCAAATAAGTGGGACCACTTATTTGACATCAACTAAGTTGATGTCAAATAAGTGGGATTTTCATAGAAGTGACCTTCTGTTTATTGTGTTTTGACATATTAAACATTTTTTCTTTTTAGAGATTATAACTAACCACCAGTATCCTATAACTTTGAGCCTATTTACTGGGTAGTCTGTACAGTTATACATGGCTTAAGATCCATAGTGGAGTCCTGGTGTGGCGCAGTAAGCTAATGCACTGGACTGGAACTTCGGTTTGAACCTTAAGGTCAGCAGTTCAAACTCACCAGCTGCTCCTTGGAAACCCTACACAGGGTCACTGTGGGTCGAAATCGACTTGACGGCACTTAACAACAACCACAAATGTCCATGATATGTTCTGTGAAATATGGTGTTGCGTGATTTGAATGTTGTGCAGACACCTGTGTCCGAGGGGTTCAGGGATGCCCAGGCGCATTGGTTCGGAGGCTGGTGTACAGCAAATGGTCTATGCAGTTTCTGTTTCCACAGGCCAGTGCTTGCCTGTCCCATGCTGCCTTCTCTGCTAAGCTAGCTACAGGGAAGGCCAGTTAACCCCTGAAAAACCTGTCTGGAAAGGGCACAGTGTTCTCTAGCCAGGACTGGGTCTCCTGGGTACATACATACCTTTCCTTCATTACCCTATGAGGCCACACTGGGCAAAATATCTTGGGAGCCAAGGGGGACGGGCATTAGGAATTTGGGATTGGGCTTCTATCACTGCAGAGTAGGTAGCTTCGGGCTACACACAGAAGTGGAGCAGAAGTGAAACTCCAATCTCAAGATAAAAGTCTACCATCCTGGCACTTAGACATCTGGGTGTCCCAGCCAACAGACATATATGTAGTTGGATGTTGCCCTATTGGACATAAAGTGACATATACCTAAAAGAGAGAAAGACATCAGAGAATAGAGATGTGGCTTGATTAGTCTTACACAGGCTCCTATTTGCTATAATAAATGAGCATCACATAGTCAATGTACTCTGGTAAGACAACATCTCACTTTTATCATTATGCTTGGTCAGCGAACATGAGAAAGACACCCAATAAGATGGATTGACATAGTGACTGTAACAATGGGCTCAAACATAGCAACTATTATAAGGATGGTTTCATTCTAGTATATGAGGTCACTGTAAGTCAGAACTGACTCCGTGGCACCTCATGGCAAAGTTACTAATTAATGTCTGATTGGCTATGATTTATGGAGAGGAGGCCCTATGTGTGTTAGATGATTTTGAGTAAGTAGATCACCAAGCCCTTATTCCAAGGTGCCTATAGGTGCATTTGAACCTTTAATCTTTTGGTTGCTAACCAAGTACATTAATGATTTGCTCCCATTCTCTCCCATTCAAGGACTATATTCTAGATTGCCCAACAGTTTTATTATGCTCAGAGTAAATAATATTCCCCCTCCCCCCATTTGAGGTTAAGAGGACTTCAAAACATTCCTGGAAAAATTACATTATCTTTTTGAAGCCCCTTCATAAATGGGATTTTTGAGTGTTTTGAAAGTCTGGACTTTATATTTTTTGAGCTCCAGGCATCCCACAGAACAGTGTTTTTCAGTATTTGGCAGTTACTTTATAACCCTGAGTTCCTTTATTTGGGGCTGGTCTGTGGGACCAACTGACTTTGCGTTTCCTGAGTTGGAGTTCAGCTCTACAGATCCCTAGGACTCTGAAGGATAGTCTGAAAAACATGTTGTAGTGTTTTTGCAGGAGCCTTTAGTTTTATTTAAATCAATTACGAGTGGTTTTTTTTTGTTTGTTTGTTTGTTTTTTAAAGAAATAGTTCTTTAAGTAGCCTTACATGTAAAAAAATTTTCTTTGTGGTTCCTTATAGTTTACTTGAATAACAAAGAACCCTCAAATAAACCTGTTACTTCTACTTGTTTGGGAAACTGTTTAAATAGGGAGAATGGTAAATTGGTCTCATTATGTACACCACCTTTATTCTATTGATAATAACTATGTGGAAGGTTGGAGTCATGGTTTGGAGCTGTAGGATAAGCACTGGGTTGCTAACTGCAGTTGGTGGTTCAAACCCATCAGCTGCTTCTTGGAAACTGTATAGAGTCATCATGAGTTAGGGCTGACTCAGTGACACTTAAAAGCAACATGTGGAAGATTGTGTCCAGAAGGCGAAAATTGTATGATTGCTTCTGAGATCCGGGAGAAGAAAGAATACTGTACTTGTTCATGCCTTCGGCTACTAACTCTGGATAAAAAGAGTACACGTGTCAGTGTATGTCAAGAATCCATTTTGAGAGGTAAAGAGTACTGGTTTTTGTCATTAGAAATTGTTGGATATGCATTTTAGTTCTGCCACTGGATGTATGATTCTGGACGAGGTATTTTCCTTTTTAAACAGTACCTCTTTCCCTATCTGTACAGTCGGAATTTTGTTAGAAGCAAATGTAATAATGTTTACCAAGTGCTCATGGCACTTGGCATATAATTAACACTCAGTAACCATTAACTGGCTATTTTACAAATTACTGTGTTTGCTAATATAGTACTGCACTTGCTGTACATGAAAAATTGTTTTAAAATGTTCACGTGTAATTTATAAGTCACTTAAAACTCACAGCATCCCAATGAATAGGTTCATTTTATAGAAGAAACTGAGATAATAGAGCTTAAGTCTTCATCCCCTCCTTTCTCTGTTATATACAGCTGCTAAGTGGCAAAGTTAGGAAATCAGCCTTAGGCATTTTGGCCCCAGAGTCTGTGTTATCAATCAGTGTGCTCTAGTGGCACAATGGTTAAGTACTTGGCAGCTAACTGAAAGGTTTGTGGTTCAAATCTACCCAGCAGCTCCTTCAGGAAGACTTAGTAATCTACTCTTGTAAAAATTATAGCCAAGAAACCCAGACCTATGGAGCAGTTCTTTACTGTGACATGGAGCTGCTGTGAGTCAGAATGAACACCACAGCACTTGTCAACAACCACAACATACTATTTAGCATAGAATACACATTTCTCTAGAAGCAGTAAATTAGAAATTTAACATTAAGGGAGAGATCTAGAAAGGTGCATATTTTATGTTGGGAGATCTGGAGGTTGATTTTGAGTATATTAAGCTTAAGATGCCAGTTAGATTTGGATATAGTAGTTTTGGAGTTGAGGTCCAAGCTATGTGTATAAATATGTATAAATTTAGGAGTCATTAGTATATAAGGAGCTCTGGTAGCGTAGTGGTTACGAGTCGGGCTGCCAACCTCAAGGTCAGCAGTTCAAAACTACCAGTGCTTCTGCAGGAGAAAGATGAGGCATTCTGCTCCTGTAAAGATTTACATCCTCGGAAACCCTGTGCAGGATCAATATGAGTTGGAACCAACTCCAGGGTACTTAACAACAACAGTGTATATATAAATAGTGTGTAGATATTTACATAAAAAACAAGAGGTTTTAGGACTGAGCTGTAGAAGCTGCCAGTGGTTAAGAGATCAAGGATAGTACACCAAGAATTTAAGTTGCATAAGGAGGGAAAAGAGGACATGAAGAGCTGAAAAGGTGGAGAATCATGCTAGCTCAATAAACTTGTTTCCTGAGCCCTGCTGCACCCAACTGACCCCATATCTGGAATACTGTTTTCTGTCTGTAATGCTTCTTTCACACTCAATTCAAATGCCTTCTCTTTATACTTACCCAAACACTTAGTTCCCCTGCAGTGGCAACTGGCACTTAGAAATTGTTCAGTAAATGCTGAAAATTTAGAAAATTTAAATTCTGTACTTCCCTCTGGTAGATGATTTCAAATTGGGAAGGCTGAAAGTTCCTTTATCTATCCGCTCTGTAACCAACTGTAAACTGTGAACACAATGATTCTCAACTGTTGTTTTTTTTCTGTTTAATTTACATGTCTGACATAGTTTACATGAAAAGAGGATCACACTGCATTCCTCTTCTCCACCTGGTATTTAGCTGGAATTCCCCTCCTCTACACTGATTTTAAACTGGCATTTTATGCTGCTGAGAATGGATGTTCAAACAGAACATCTAAAATAAGTTTGTGAATGTGGTCTTGCTTCCTTTTTAGTTATTCTTTTATTTCAATTGATCATAGAATACAAGTGGTTGTTTAATTAATTATACACATACAGGGTCGCTATGAGTCAGAACCGACTCCACAGTACTTAACAACAACAACTAACTGTAGAATCTTTTTGTAAAGGCGAGAGCAATTTGAAGACCATTTAGGTAGGCTAGCCTTTCAGAGATGAAGTGGCATGTTGCATATCAATTATCAGCAGAGCTCAACTAGAGCTCCAAGTTTCTTAACTCCCAATTCCATACTCTTTCTACTACTGTACTGCCTTTTCTTTTAGGACAAAAAGCATGAATTCTAGTATGAAATTTTGTGACAGGTGATAAATTCTTTAACATCATGGTAACTAAAGTAATAGTTTAAATATGATTCAGTACTTTAACCATTTGAGAATGTCTGCAGTTTTTCCATCAAATTATTAGTGAGAAGATGTGGTATACTTGATTTTACTATTATGGCTAGACTATGAGTTAGTTTTACGTAATTAAATAGAATACATGAGCCTTGTCTTTAAAAATCTGAATAGGTAAGTATGCAAAAAGTTTGCTCTAATTTGAACATTGAAGACCACTTTCTAATCTACCTATTTATTTTTAATTCTTTCAGAAAGATGAGGTCTATCTTAATCTGGTGCTGGACTATGTTCCGGAAACAGTATACAGAGTTGCCAGACACTATAGTCGAGCCAAACAGACGCTCCCTGTGATCTATGTCAAGGTATGTAAAAATGAAATAATTTACCATTTTGAAAAATATTTATTTTGCGCCAGAAAGAATTCTGGGTGCTTGTAAACTATATTTGTCATGTCACATTTCATACTTAGGGGGAAATAAGGCAGAGTAAGTATTGTTATAGCATCATTAAAGTCTTATACAATTTTAAAATGTGAAGCCTTCATCTCTCATGACTCAGCAACTGAAGTTTAAACTTTTAAATATGTAAAGACTATGAAGGTGCTGTTTAATTTTTAGTACATAATATTGATTGAGTCCTATTCTGATACTGGAATAAGGTGCTGGACCACAAGGTTGGTTTGAACCATGAGGTTGACAGTTTAAACTCACCAGCCACTCCTTGGAAGCCCTATACAGGGTTGCTGTGAATTGGAACTGACTCGATGGCTTTTTACCAGCAATACACATTGATGGCATTTATTTTATTTACTAGAAATCGTAGCAGAATTACTAGGAATTTATCCAGCCAGCATAATCTGATAAAAACTGTATAGATGATTAGGAACATTGTTAATTTTATTTAGTAATTATGACATTGTGAAATAACTAGGAGTAAATCTGAAACTCTGTATCCTAAATAGATATTTATGATACTCATGAAGTCTTTAGTTTTTATATTTTATCCTTTATAGAAGGGATTCTGGAAAATAAAATGATACTGACTGAATATTTTCAGGTCAGAGTAATGAAGTTTTATTTAATAGTGTTAGTTTTTAAACTTCACACAAATAAAAGGACTACTAAAGCAAGAACATTAGTAATGGAAGTTCTTTTAGGACTTGTAATAGCTAGACAATTTTGGCATAGTCTAGGATTTCTATCAAATTCAATGCTAATAATTAAATTTGGATTCTAGTATAGTTTATTTCTACTTATCAAAAATTGGCTGAAGCTACCGTTAAATTATTAATCGTAAGTGCTAAATGACACAGATCTACTAACTTTACATAAGTACTTTACTCAAGATTTAGATCAGCAAGTCCTATTCTAAATAACTAGGATAACCTCGTATGTATTCCTTTAAACTCACCAAGTCTAGAGTAACATGTGAGCTTCTTAGTGTAGAATGGTGGCGGTGGAAGGCTGCCCTGTGGCTCGTATTATTGCCAGTTCAGAGCAATGGTACATTTATGAAACAGAAGGAACCTAGCTTTGAACCCCATTTTGCTACTTAGTTATTTACTTTAGCAAGTCACTAGTTCATTCTCTGCTTAGGTTCCATGTTAAACAAATTGTATGAGAGTGAGTCAAAAATAATTTGCACTCTGGCTGTAGAATTTATTTTCATCAACTTTTAGAAAAGACAAATGCATCTTTTTTTTTTTTTTTGGCATAACGTCCTTGCTTTTCAATACTTTGTCCATCTGTCACAAAGCTTCCATATTCCCTTATTAAAAAATGTTTTAGGCTGAACTGCAAGCCACGAATATACTGCTGTCTTCACTTCTTCATTGGAAGTGAATCTTCATCCTCAAAGGGCTGCTTTCAGGGGACCAAACGGGTGAAAAGCCAGTGGAATAAGATCAGGACTATAGTTGTTGTTGTTAAGTGCCATCAAGTCTAGCGACCCTGTATAGGGTTTCCAAGGAGCAGGTGGTGAACTTGAACCGCCAGCCTTGCAGTTCAAACGGCTTTGCCTTTGCAGTCTGGCGCATTAACCCACAGCGCCACACCAGGATACCCAGGACTATAGTGAGGATACTTTAACACCTCAAAGCGAAGTTTTTTCAGAGTGTTAACAGTGTGGGCAGAGGTGTATGAATAATGCATTGTTATATAAGATGACAGTGTCCTAGGATAGCAATTCTCTGAGTTTAATCCTAAATTTAGGCTTCAGCTCTTCAATGAGCATCTCACTGTAAGGAGCACCGGTGATTGATGAACTATTTTTCCTGGTGGTGTTCCAGTACTGGCTTGTGAGAGTCCCAGAAAACTGTAGGCATCAATTTTCCAGCTGGTGGTTGACTTTTAAACTTTTTCTTGTTTGCCAATTGAGGATGTTTCCATTCCATACTTTGCCATTTACTTTCAGGCTCCTGGTGATGAATCCATGTCTCATCACCAGTAATGATTTTTTAAAAAAACTTTCACCTTCCTTTCAGTATCAGTCCAAATTTTGTTTGCAGATGTCCAAATGCTTCTATTTATGCTCCTTTATGAGTTTTTTTAGTATGTGTCTTGCACAAACTTTTTGAAACCCAAATAATCTGTCATGGATTATTTCATAGGCAGAGCCATGGCTGACTTGCAAATGATTTGCCTCATAAATTACTGTCACTCCTCTGTTTGACAGAGTCAGAATCATTTCATGTGCACACTCAATGTTGTCAGCCATGGACATGGACGGGCGGTTTAATATAGCCAGAGTGCAGAGAATTTTTTATTTTATTATTATTTTTTTAATTGTGAGGTTTACATGGGAGAACATCAGCCCTACACTCATCCTATCACATTTCATTTCATTGCAATGATCACAATCCCCTCCATGCATCATCAAACAACCAAAGGGTACACCACACAGGCCTGCCCCCCAGCCGTCAGTGCACAGCCCCTCTCACTCCCTGAGTCCAGTGTCCCCAGCTGCTCCATCTGTCCACTTCATCTCTGCCTCCATCCCTGGTATCACTGCCTCTCAGGGTAGGGTCCCGCTCTCCGTTCTTCTCACTTGATGGTCCCAGGTCTCTGCTCCTGGGCTGCAAAATCAATCACTCTCCTCCTTTTGTCAAAAAACATCTACCTCTGTATTTCCTACTCTGACAGTTAGTCCTGATGGCAATTGTTCACTATCGTACCACAAGAGTCTTATCCCCATTTCCTTTCACCAGCCCGGTCCCACCCGATTGGAAATCTTTCAGTGGTTATTCTACCTTCACCTGCCCCATCTGGAACTAGGCTCCCTCTTCAAAGCTTGTAAGAGAGTCACTTCTTGCCTTTGTAGGCCCTGCCCCATTTTGGGTAGCCAATGTCAAAATTGCCTCATCCCTGTCAATCCTGTGTACTGAGGGGGTGGGAGTGGTCCTTGCTGTAAAGATTTGTTCCCTTTTTTGAGCTACTACATCCATAAGTATAGGTAAAGTTCATCAAATTGTAGCAGTTTACTCCCCCCTCCCCCACCCCCTTCTTTCTTCTAGTCGAGTTCTCATCATGCATCCATTGAAGCCAGGTCAAGTGAGTACTAGCCAGAGTGCAGATAATTTTTGACTCATCCTCATACTTATTTTTTTCTATCCACCGTATGGCACTGTTGGTGTTTAAAATGAGATTAACACATGAGAAAACACTGTGGCCTGTAAGGTAAAAGTAGTAGAAGGCCTTTTAATACTAGATTAGAAAGTGACATTCTGTGAACATTCAAAAAGAGGTCCACAGTGGTTAGGCTTTTTTCTCTTTTTAATTCATCAAATAAGTATTAAATGATTGCAAAATTATTTGAAGCCTAGTAAAATATTTTGTTACTTCGCTAGTAAAGATTAAAAACCGACACAATTAACTATGTTGTTTTTGTAGTTAAGTGCAGTCAAGTTAGTTCTGACTTGTGTCGGGTTTCCGCGGAGCAGCTAACTGGTGAGTTTGAACCCCTGAACTTGTGGTTCAAACCAGCCTTATGGTCCAGTGCTTATCCTACAGTGCCACACCAAAATGTATATTGTAAAAATGATTAAACAGCTAGAAATGTCATGTTCGTTTTTTGGTTTTCTTGTAGTGAATATATAGGTAACTCTTGTATTTAGCATTTGAACAGTCTTCACTTAAACAGTTAAGTGACATTAATTATGTCATACTAGTTTTGAATTGGTAACATTTCCTTGGAAAAGAGAGGGGTATAGTGACATCTCTTTTGATTCTACCCTCCAAATTTATTCACCCCTTAGCAGATCTGTACTGATTTCTTGGCTAACAAACATTTATTTATCTCTCACCACTTCTTAACAGAAAATGTGCCAGATTATTTTATTTTACTGTATCTCTCTCCAAGGATCTCTGGTGGCACAGTGCTTAAGCAGCCATCTGCTAACTGGCGAGGTTAGCTTTTCAAACTGAGCAGTCACTCTGTGTGAGAATGAAAACCTGGCAACCTGCTCTTATAATGACTTCAGCCTAGCAAGCCCCATGGGATAATTCCACTCTGTTCTTTTAATAGGATCGCTATGAGTTGGAATTGACTCAATGGCACACACCCACCACCACCACAGCAGTATCTATCTACAGAAAGTTTGCTTATTTCAGGACCTTTCTTTAGTCACCCTACACATTTGTTTTTGCTATTGAAAATTTCAAGCACGTATATATAAGTAGAGAAAATAAAATGATTAACTCTCATGTGTCTGTTGTTACCAGCTTCATACAATTATCAATTACTAGCCAATTTTGTTTCATCTACACCACCCCCTACTCTTTATTGCTTTTGTTATTTCGAAGCAAATTCCAGACATTATTATTTTCATTTATAAGTATTGAATATATATGCATAAAAGATAATGACTCTTAAATAAAACAAATTAAATAAATAATCATAATACCTATCATCCCATTCTAGGAAAATGGATGCTTTTAAATAGCCATTGCCTTTTGAAGATCAGAAATATTGGCCCTGGGTATTATTCTTTGATGACACAAATCTAAAGTTTAAGGATCTAAAGAGATAAAAACAATTATCTGGAATTGATGGGTTATGTTACTTTCATTATTCACATAAAAAATCTCCTGGGTGGTTCAATAGTTAAACATTCAGCTACCACCTAAAAGGTTAATGGTTCAAATTCACCCAGAGGCTCCTCAGAAAGCAAGCCTAATGAGCAATTTCTACACGGTAACACATCATGATTTGGAATCAATTAGACAGCAACTAACAACAACAGCAGCTCATTCACTTACTCATTCTTCATAGTTTTATTATAATTCTATTATGTGAGAAATGCTTGAATTTGGAGAAGAAATAAAAATGATTAAGTATATACAGCTTTGACATACATAGGCGCTCATCATCTAATAAGGACTTGTTTGACAAAGACATTAGCAAAATGACAACTGCATTCTTGTCTGTGATTCACTCACTTTTTTCCTGGGCAATTTAGTATGTCCTATGACTTTTATTGCTTCAAATCATCCCTTTTGTACTACTGGTTACATTGTACTTGATGCTGAATATGTAAAATTAAAAGGTTTTGAGCATCTTTACTTTCATTGTTGAGCATTTTTCAAAGTAAATGCATTTTAAAATACAACTCTAAAGCAAATACTTAACATCCAACTCATAGTGACTCTGTAAGACAGAATGGAGTTGCCACCATTTTTTACTGGAGGAGACAGCCTCACCTTTCTTCTGTGGAGCACCTGGTAGGATTTTGCGGTTAACTGCCCAACATAAGCCTACCAGGGCTCCTTAATGTCTAAATTGTTGTTTGTTGTTAAGTACCATTGAGTCGATTTGATTCTAACTCATAGTAACCCTGTATAGGGTTCCAAAGGAGTGGCTTGTTAGTTTGAATCACCAGCCTTGTGGTTCACACCGACATATGATTCAGTGCTTTATCCCATAGCACCACACCAGGACGCCTAACTTAGATTTTTTAAATTGAAAAGATGTTAATTACATAAGAAAGCTCAATATATTTTTTGTGTATAGTCAGTAAATTGTTACTCTGTTTGTTTTAAACATATTGTAGCAGAGAAGGCCATTTGTACTTGTATTAAATTTGGTAATAACTTTGTGACTTTGATGAAATTACTTCATCTCATGACCTTTATGTTTTCTACTACGAAAATGACGATTAATGGTTATCTCAGAGGTTGTTGTTGTTAAGTGCCGTCGAGTCAGTTCTGACCCATAGCAACCCTGTATAGGGTTTCCAGCGAGCAGCTGGTGAGCTTGAACCACCAACCTTGCAGTTCAAATGACTTTTCAGTCTGGCACATTAACCCACTGTGCCACACCAGGAATCCTGTCTTTTAATTTCCTTTTCCCATGAACTTTTTGTAGTCTCTTCAGATCATAGATAAAAAGATGAACTTGAAAACCAGAAGACCATCTCATATACTTATGGTGAAATGTTAATAAGATAAAAAGTTACAAAGCAAGTTGTAGAACTGTTTTTTGTAAGTTATTTAAGGATGGTACGAGTATAACATATGGTTAATAATTCAGTGAATTAATATAGAAATGACACAAAACATTTTAAAGGAAGATTGACTAGATACTATTATTCCCCAGCATTTCATTTTGCTTGGGTTTCAAAATCTGTTACTTTATTTACTGCTGAAGGTATCTGCTTTGTTTGGGACAAGAGGTACCAAATTAATTTTTACTATCTTATTTCAGTTGTATATGTATCAGCTGTTCCGAAGTTTAGCCTATATACATTCCTTTGGAATCTGCCATCGGGATATTAAACCACAGAACCTCTTGTTGGATCCTGATACAGCTGTCTTAAAACTCTGTGATTTTGGAAGGTAAGTTAGCTGTCTTTTTTTTTTTTTTTCTCTCTCTCTCTCTCTCTCTTTTCTCCTGGTCCCATCCTCTACATTCATATGCTCTTTAAAAAGTATTCCTTTTAAGACAATGTGGGTCAAACTCAAAATTATAAAAAAAGACTGGACTTACTGGTCAGAAAGACTGGAGGAACCCAAGACTATGGCCCTCGGCCACCCTTCAGGTCTGGAATAGAACTTATCCTCGTGGCCCGGTTTTCAGCCATATGGTAGAAAGGCATATAGGGGACAACAACACTAGTAGAGTATGCTTGCCATTGAATGGTCAACTATTCTAGATCAAAAAGGACAGAATTTACCTAAGGACAAAATTGAGAAGGATTGGGAATGGAGTGGAATGGAAATAAAAACCACAGGGAAGAAATAGGATAGCCCCGTTGTTCCATAGAGGGAATTGTAGTGATGAATATGAAACAAAATGTAGGATTTGTTGACTGCAAAACTGATGATCTGCTCAGTAAACATTCATTCAATTCTCAATAAAATGTTTCCCAAAAAGGAGTATTCTTTTTTTAATGTCGTCTAAACACTAGTCCTCACAAAGGGGAGTATAAACTATAGTTCAGCTCTTTGTATGGATAGTTTTAATAATTTCTCTCAGAATTTAAAATGTGTGGTCTTTTATTGAACAGTTGTTTTACTTTTAGGAATTACTCTTAGAAGTACACGTTTATGAAATGCTGTACATACAGGGATTTTTTATTTTTACATATATTTGTAAATGTCCAGCAGTAGGAAAGTGACCAAATAAATCATGGCACCTGCACAAATATTGTGAAAAAGTCTGAGTCAGCTCTCTCTGAACTGAAAGGAAATGAACTCGAAGGCATACAAGGTTAAGACTGTGAAGCCCTAGTAGTACCGTGGTTAAATGCTCTTTTGCTAATTGAGAGGTCAGTGGTTTAAACCCACCACATACTCTGCAGAGGAAAGATATGACAGTCTGTTTCCATAGAGATTGTTGTTGTTAAGTGCTGTTGAATCAGTTCCAACTCACAGGATCCTGTGTATGACAGAGCAAAACACCGCCGATTCCCCATTCTTGCAATCTGTGTTTAAGCCGATAAAGATTACATCCTAGGAAATCCTATGGGCATTTCTGTGCTATGAGCCAGAACTGACTCAGTAGCATCAAGTTTTGGTTTATGCTCCCTCATATGTTTTAAAAACAAACAACATGGCTACACATCTATAAATATATGCATGGTATATTTATGAAATGATAATAAGAAACTTATAAAACATGCTGCCCCTGGTAGTATGGAATAGTTGGGAATTTTGCTTGTTTATTGCTTATGCTGATTATGGCTTGACTATTTGCTATGAGGTTGTAATTTTCAATGAAAGTTGATTTTTAAAAAAATAGCAATTACTATACGTACTGGTGAGCCTTATAACTAGAGTCAAATGAGTTTTACAAGCCTAATAGTATTTTATTTCTTTTCATCCATACTTTAATCTCACTTCTCCCCCCCCCCGTCCCCTCCCTTTTTTTTTTTTTTTTTTTTCCCTTTCAAATTTCAGCTCACTTTCTCCCTTCTTAAATACACTCCTTGGTAATCTACTGTGAATTCACAGTAAAATATTATTTTCATTTCCATAATGTTTGCCACCTCGTGACTGTCTGATCTATCCTTTTGATGTGTTTGCTGTTGTATTAAATTCCATCAAGTTGGCTCTGACTCACAGTGACACCCTGTATAGGGTTTCTAAGGAGTCACTGGTGAGTTTGAACCACTGACCCTTGTGGTTAACAGTTCAGTGCTTATCCTGCAGTGCCACACCAGGCATTCCCATGTAACTTGGGCCTGACCCTGCTACTCGCTCTTTGACATAATTACCTAGAGTAAATCTTCTCTTCTCTCAGTTCCCATGTCATTGCCACATAACATGAAGTCTCTCAAATTTAATTTCTTTCATTCTTCTAACATTCTCTCAGTTCCCAAGTCATTGCCACATAACATGAAGTCTCTCAAGTTTAAATTCTTTCATTCTTCTAACATTCTCATTTTTACTTTCAGCTTTTTCTATATTACATGTTAACCCACAGTTGCTGATACTTGTATAGCTCCATCTTTGTTGTACCTTTATATCAATCCGTATCAGTTTAAACATTGGACTTAACATTGGGAATATTTTTCCATAGTTTGTCTCTTGAGAGAGATAGTAAACATCAAACAAATAAACAACAACAATAACAAAAAACAAGCAACCTGCTCTGTCATGAGTGAATTCTTAGTTTAACAAGTGCTCTCTTTCTTGCTGTCCCTGTTTTATTGTTATTTAAATGGCTAATACTCTTGGTTTCAATGGAAAAGTTGAAGGTTTGAGTTTACCCAGAAGTACCTTGGAAGAAAGGCTGCAAACCCTGTAGAAGACAACTGTACTCAGACACATTGGTACTGGTACGATCATACTGTACAACTTACTCTGCAGGGTCTAGAGCTTTATCTCCTCAACTATAAGAAAAGGTGAAGGAAATTAATCAAAACTCCTATTTTATACTACTTACAAAGGAGCTCTGGTAGCGTAGTGGTTACGAATTGGGCAGCGAATCGCAAGGTCAGTGGTTCGAAACTACCAGCTGCTCTGCGGGAGAAAGATGAGGCTTTCTGCTCCCGTAAAGATTTATAGTCTCGGAAACCCTGTTCAGGGTCGTTATGGGTCGGAACCAACTTGACGGCAACAACAACAATAGGACAAACTGCCCAGTTCACGTCAAGTTTTATTGTTATGGGGTGTCTTCCCTACTGACAGTATCTGACTGATAGGGCTATGAAAAGACTAGAGGGGGCTTCAGAAAGTTCATGATAAACTTCCATTATCTTTTAATTCCATTTGTCCATGAAATTTTGAAGCCCCCTCATATGAAAGACCACTATATTGGACAGTGGAATATGTACCTCAACCCTCAGAGGACTGAATTGTTACAGCCAGCCTTACTTTAAGAAAAAGAAGGTAGCTACATCAAGTAAGGTGTTCTTATATGGTGCTGTAGAGTCAGCACTGGACTGCTAACCACAAGATTGGCAGTTCAAACCTATCAGATGCTCCTCGGAAACCCTGTACCAGGATAGTTGTTAGTTGAAAGCAACTCGATGGCAAATAACATTAAGTAAGGGGAGTCCTGGTGTGGCTCTGTAGGGCAAACACTGGGCTGCTAACTTGATGGCACTGAACAACAACAAAATCAAGTCACGAAGAAATCTACAGGCAGCAAAGCTTCAGATGTTACCTGTTTGCTTCTATAGTGAATTTTCGAACATAATTTGAATATGAAAAGTATTATCACATCCCTGAGTGTATAAACAATTTGTGCTATACAACTAAAAGTGGGTTATTCAGATCCATCCATAGACATCCCAGAAGAAAGGCCTAGCAGTCTGCTTCTGTAAAGATTGTTGTTGTTGTTGTTAAGTGCTGTTGAGTTGGTTCCAACTCCGACCCTACAGCTAAGAATTTTCATGCAGTCTAAATAAGGATTGATACTAATTGATAGCATGGTTGTTTTGTGTCAATACTTGGGGAGATGGTTACAAATGAAACTCTACTGTACAAAACTGATGATGAAGGAAGTACTGATGAAGGATGAAGGTTAAGGTTAGAATCATCACTAACTAGAAACAAATGGAAGGAAAGAAAGCCTGGGCTGTGGTACCTTTGTGACTACTTTCATCATCTCTGGTTTTCCTATATCGTTACCTCAAATGTTTCTTACATTTTCTTGTGTTTACCATTTGTCCTGTTTTGATTTTGTTGCTTATATTTATTTTCTATATATAGTTTTGTTATAATTGTGTGTCGGAATGATTAACTGCTGCTACAGTTTTTTATTTCAGTGTTTAGCTATCTTGAGAGATATCTCAAGATAAATTAATTTTAATTAACTCTAATGTTTTAAAAGTTCATACCACAGAAATATTGTGGAAGGAGAGTTGGAATGAGAGAACATGTAATTAAACTCACCACAGCAGAGTTGGGCTTCATAGGCTGTGAATCACCTCTAGCCTAAAAGAGGTGTAGTGGTGGTTAAGTGCTGTCAAGTCTGTTTCAAATCATAGCAACCTATATAGGGTTTCCAAGGAGCAGCGGCTGGTGAGTTCAGACCAACCTTGAGGTTCAGACCAGCCTTGTAGTCCACTGCTTATCACTGCAATACCACACCAGGACTCCAAGGGCCTGACATTTTGGAATTTATTAACAAATGAATATTTTAGACAGTTCATAAATTGACCAAAATGGTGGAGAAATAAAATAAATTGCATCTTTAAACCTTGGCATATTCACCCTTAGTCAGAAGTCAAATTAAATTGCAAGATAGTGACTAATTTCTTACCTTCTTTGAAAGCATACAAGTATTTATTCTTACACTGTAATTCAAGGACATCATCATGCTTTTTGATGGAAAAGAGGACCACCCCTTCATTTTTCACCTTTATTCTTTGTATTTAGAGGTAGAAGATTTTGGGACATAGGAGCAGGAGAAATTCAACACTGCACTTTCTGTTTCCTTTTCTTTAGGTGGCAGTTTTTCTTTAAAATTAATCTTTGTCTTTGTTACTTGTTTTTTTTTCAGAGCATTGTGATGATAAAGTTATAGGTTTATAAGCAAAGTTCATTTTTCTTTTTCATAAGTTGAAGGATTGAAATTAAATGAATGTTAGACAAGTACAAGAGGGCTTCAAAAGTTCACGGAAAAATTCCATTGTCTTTCTATTCCCATTTTCCATGAACATTTTAAAGCCCCCTAGTATTCAGTGTTTTGGATACTTGGGTTCTTTAAAAGTTTAGATTTGTTTTTAAAATTTCTATTTTTTATTTTTCCATTAGTGCAAAGCAGCTGGTCCGAGGAGAACCCAATGTTTCATATATCTGTTCTCGGTACTATAGGGCACCAGAGTTGATCTTTGGAGCCACTGATTATACCTCTAGTATAGGTAAGTACTGAAATTTAAATACTATGCATTATAGTTATTAATTGCATCATGTTTGTAGTTATTTGTCTATTGTTAATAATCTCTTGTCAGTTGCCATCAGATACTTCCATTTAAATGTAAAGATGGGTGTGCCCTAAAATATATATTTTTCTTAGATTGATAGGCAAAAATATGTAGATTTTGTAAAACTTCGCCTTCTAAAATTTAAGATATACTTACTATTTTACTTGTAGGTTTCTTGGATTATTGTTGCTGTTAGTGCCATTGAATCAGTTCCAACTCGTTCTTGCTAGGTGTCATCAAGTTGGTACCAACTCATAGCGACCCTGTGCACAGCAGAACAAAACACTGCCCTGTCTTAGCCAACTTCACAATCGTTCCTACACTTGAGCCCATCACTGCCTCCACTTTGCAAATCCATCTCACTGGGGGTCTTCCTCTTTTTTTCTGACCCTCCACTTTACCAAACATGGTACCCTCCTGATAATACGTCCATAGTATGAGAGACAAAGTCTGACCATCGTGACATCTAACTACACTTATTCCAACACAAATCTGTTTGTTCTTTTGGTAGTCCATAGTGCTTTTAATATTCTTGTCCAGCACCATAACTCAAATGCATCAATTCTTCTGTGGTCTTCATTATTCACTGTCCAACTTTAGCTTGCATGTTAGGTTATTTAAAATACCATAGCTTGGGTCAGGTGCACCTTAGTCCTCAAATTGACATCTTTGTTCTTCAATACTTTGAAGAGATCTTGTGCAGCAGATTTGTCTAATGCATTACATCGTTTGGTATCTTGACTGCTGCTTCCATGAGTTCCGACTCATAGGTGCCCTACGTAGGTATTCTGAAGAGAGATTGGGGAGTTTCAATTTCAACCACTAACCTACAGTTAAAACCAATCTTGCAATCCAATGCTTACCCTACAGAGCCACACCAGGAGGGAATAACACTATTTCTTTTTAATTACATACTGTATTAGTTTTTAGGAGTCCTGGTGTGGCACTGTGGGTTAATGCACCAGACTACAAAGCCATTTGAACTGCAAGGTTGGCAGTTCAAGCTCACCAGCAGCTCATTGGAAACCCTATACAGGGTCGCTATGGGTTGGAACCAACTCAGTGGCACTTAACAACAAAAACAACATTAGTTTTTAACTTTTAATATTCAAAGTAACCCTTAAGTTTATGTTTTCTTTTCTTCCTTCCTCCAAAATACTTCTGAGCCTGAGAATGTTCTTAGGAGAATTTGTATCCATTACAGTTTATGATGAAAATGATAGGATGACCATATTGTTTATATTCTTACCATGCTGTCTCAATTGGTTATTTAATTTGAAGACAGCTTTAAAAAGTCTTGTTTATTAGTAGTTTGGTTATAAACTTATTGATTCTGTTGAAGTCTTCACCCAGACATATATAGTGACAGTAGATAATTGAATAAGTACATTTTGCTTCCTCTTTTACTTCATTTCTCTTTAGCCCACTAGCTAGGAGTAAGAGAGAACATGTTCCATTACACACTACTAGAAAGCTAAGTGGAGGACAGAGTTGTTGTACTGTTACATATTGTTTCTCTAAGGAGTCCTAGTTGTAGCACTTTAGGCTAAGTACCAGACTACTAATCACAAGGTCATCACTTCAAATCCACTGGTTGCTTCTAGGAAATCCATACAGAGTCAATATGAGTCGTTGGAACCTAGTCAACAGCACTTAACAACAACAACAACATTGGTTCTGTAAAGGGAATTAATTAGGTCAAAAATAGAAACAAAAGCATACAGATTAGGTTATACACATTACAAGTAGAATTTCCTTTAAATAGATAGAGGTAACATACTTTAGTGTGGGTATAGAAGGTACCTAGAGATAGTTTATCCCTCCAGATTTGTGTGTGATGACAAAAAGGTCACTTGCAATAGACTGGCCCTAAATTCTCCATAATTAATCTGGTGTTGACATAATCTTGTTTTAGGGGTATGTACTTAAATATGAGTTTAGATCTTTCTTTTGGCAGATTGCTTTTTCACGCAAAACCTTTTTTCAGCCATCTCATCCTCATTATGCCCATCTCTATGTGGTGCTGTAGGATAAGCACTGGTCTACAAGGCCAATTTGAACCTCAAGGTTGGTGCTTCAAAACTACCAGCTGCTCCTTGGAAACCCTATCCCGGGTTGCTATGAGTCGGAACCAACTCAATAGCACATAACAACAACAACAACCACCCTGCAGATAATTTGATTTGAAGGCCATTATTCTGTGAACCAGAATGTTAATCTTCCTGGACTATCATAGTCAAGGTTATTTATTCATTCATACAAGTTATCTCTACAACCATAAGAATGAATGAGCCAGTCTGCTTATAGGCACTTGTTTCATTGCTAAGAAAAAGAATGGGTCAGTTCTGCATTGCAGTCCTGCTATGTGCATTTTATTTTGAAGTAGATACTCAAGAAAATTGTAGAAAAAGTTAGACCTCAAGAAGTTTGTCATTTATCTGAATAGGGATGGCAGGTATTAATACAAACTAGTCTTGTTGAAGATAGTTTCCTGAATAGCAATGTTAAGCTAGTATTTTGGGTTGCTACATACATTCCTTAATATTTCCTAGAAAGATTTCATAGAAGTTTTCTAAATAATTGAGAAGTTACAATTTATAGTTAATCTTAGAGCACTTTCCTAGGCAGTTGATTTGTGCTGACATATTTAAGCATAACAATTTTATGAGATATAAAAGAAAAAAAAAAAAACAAGACAAAATCCTTTGTTATTGAGTCAAGTAGATCCAAGGCTATAAGTTTATACAGACGCAGACTGTCACTTATCTCCTCCATGAGTGATATGTTGTTGTTGTTAAGTGCCATCGAGTCTGTACCGACTCAGAGCGAACTGTATAAGGTTTCTGAGGAGTGGTTGGTGAGTTTGAATCCCCCAAACCGACCTTGTGGTCGAGTGCTTATCCTACAGCACCACACATATTTCCATTTTACAGATGTAAGCAGCTGAGTTGATTCTCAGATTAAATCTCTTATGTGAGTCCACACAATCTACCTAAACCACTAAAACTTGAAGAAGTAGAGCAAATCATAGGTCAGTTAAATAATGTGTAGTTTGCATCTAGTAAGAATAATACTTTTTTTTTCATGGTTCAGTACAGAGTATTACTGTTATAAAGACCATATGTGTAGTTATTGCAGTCCATTCCTTCAGATTTAATATAACTTTAAGAAAGTCACTTAAAGAAGCTACTTCCTCCCCTGACCTATTCCTCATCATCATGTTGCCTCAGTGAAGGGTACCACCATCAATCCATTTAAATCAGAAGCATGAAAATAACCCTTGATGCCTCCTTTCTCATTGGTGATATCTAAGACAAACCCTATAATGCATATTTTTAGCTTACTTATTTTTAAGTCCACTGATGTCTACATGTCTCTTACCTGAATCTATGGTAACAGTTTCTTAGATGGTCTTCCTGCTTCCACTGCAAAATAAATTGCACATCCCCCTAATTTGCTCCACAAGATTTTGCTTGATTTGGCCACTTTCCTGTTGAGTGCATTCTGTATCATCTACTGCAAATTTTTTTACAATTTATTCAATTTCTTAAACCAAACTCCTGGCACGGGCCTTTTTGCTCATGCTTCTCTGTCTTTACCACCTTGAAGAAGAAGGCCATGATCACTATAAATAGCATGTTCAACACCCCTCTATAGCATTTAACAGAGTTTTTACTTTTTCTCACTTTCTACTTTCTCCTTTCTGCCATTAGCTCCATGAGAACTAGGTCCTATCTTGAATATTCATGGCTGTATCCCCAGGTCCTTATTGCATACCTAATACAGATGGGGTGCTGTCGGAGCAGCACTGGACTGTGCACCACAGGGCCAACAATTCAAACCCATCAACTCTACAGAATTCAACAACAACAACAATACAGAGAAAGCACTCAGATACGGAATGGATAAATGAATGGGTGGATTATTGATCATGACAGATATAATGTAATAATATATAGATAGATGAAATATGTTTTTATTTAAAACAAAATATTGTGGTCCATTCCATTTACTTTTTTTTAAAGTTTTTATTGTGAATTGAGTGATAGTTTACATAGGAGAACATCAACTTTATATTCAGCCTATCGTATTTTGTTTCATTGCAATGATTATAATCCCCTCCATGCATCAACATTCAACAGCATTTGCTTCCATTCCCTCTGTGTTTTTGTTTTGTTTTGTTTTGTTTTTTTGATGTACACAAAGCACTCAGAAATATATAACCATTCAAACAACCAGAGGGTACACCCCTCCCCCTGGATGCCAGCACACACAGCCCCTCTTACTCCTTGAGTCTAGAGTCCCTAGCCTCTCTATCTCTGCACATCTTCGTCACTGCTTCTCTGGATAGGGTCCTGCACTCTGCTCTTCTCCCTTGATGGCCCCAGGATCCTCCACTCCTGGACTGCAAGATCAACCACTCCCCTCCTTTTGTTACAAAACATCTACCTTTTTATTTGCAACATTCACAATCACTCCTGATGGCAATTATTTACTATTAAATCACAAGAGTTTTATCCCCATCTCTTTTCACCAGCCCTGTCTGGAGGTTGGAAACCACTCAGTGGAGATTCTACCTTCCCCCGCACTCTCTGGAATTAGGCTCCCTCTTGAAAGCTTGTAAGCCAGTCACTGTGATCATCACTGTGTTGAAAGCTCTGTGGGAAATATAAACATATCCTACTCAGTATCGATTGGCTCAAGCATGGCAACAATTGTGAGTGTGGTCCAGGACCAGGCAGTGTTTCATTCTGTTGTACATAGGGTTGCTGTGAGTCGCTTACCAACTTGATGTCACTTAACAACAACAACAACAACTCCCCCTTATGGTGAAAGAAGTCATACACATAAAATAGGTAACAATATAACTAAAAAGTCTCCAAAAACTAAAATATGTTATAAATCCAATGATCTCCAAATTTTTGTGCGTAGAGATTTCATGTCAACTCTGTCTGTTTAAAAAACAAAAGGAACATTTTTTCACAATGTGTATTATCTATATATGTAAATTCATATACATACATGTATATCATATACATGGGAGTTCTGGTGTGGCACTGCAGGATAATGCACTGGACCAGAAGGTCAGTTTGGACTGCAAGGCCAGCAGTTCACACCCACCAGTTGCTCCTCAGAAACCCTGTTACAGGGTCGCTATGAGTTGGAACCAACTCAGTAGCACTTAATAACAAACAACAACATATCATACACACAGACACAAGGAGAGACTTTAGAAGTTCATGGAAAATTTCTACTGTTTTATTTCCATCTTTGTAATTAAAATAACACAAACTTTTGAATACACATGCATATAAACATACTGCTCTCATTCTGTATAGTAAGATAGTATAGTTGCTTTTTCTCAGGCAGAAAATAATGGTTGTTAGAAGTGAATCAGTGTCCTCACTTCGTAAACCACTGGTATAGACAATTAATTGTAGAACAGTTCTGAACACTGATGATTATTTGTCAGAAGTTATTGAGACTTTTGTGTGACAGCGAGGCTGCTGTAATTAAGTAAAGGTTTCACAGAGTAATGCTTAAACTGAATTTTGAAGGATCATTAAGATGTAGATAGAATTGGAAAGAGCTTTCTATAAATTGGACCATTGTAAGTAATGCATGGAGTTCTGGTGTGGTGCTGTGGATTAATGCACTGGACTGCAAAGTCGGTTTAAACCACAAGGTTGGTGGTTCAAGCTTACTAGCCCCTCTTTGGAAACCCTATACAGGGTTACTATGGGTCGGAAACCACTCGACACCACTTAACAACAACAAGTAATGCATGAAGTCTGGGTATGGAGCTGTGGATTAATGCACTGGACTGCAAAGTTAGTTTGAACCACAAGTTCAGCGGTTCAAGCTCACCAGCTGCTCCTTGGAAACCCTAAACAGGGTCAGTATGGGTCGGAACCCACTCTACAGCCCTTAACAACAACAGAAGTAATGCATGTTTGGTAACTGTCATTAAATAGTACCGTTGACTTCCTATGATTTATCCTAAAAGCCTGAAAAAATTAGGTTGATTAAGATCAAATTTGGGTTTTGATTAGGGGAGAGATTTTATGAAAAATAACTTTTTCTTTAAAAGTTCACTTTCTTAGCAGTATATAGGGTAAATAGAGAGATGAAAAAGTAAACATAGGGAAACCAGATAAGAGGCTGTTGTGATAAATCAAGTATGAAGGGATTGAGATATGGGTTAGGGAGAACTAACATTATGGGAACTGGTGTGATAAAGTATTTTAAAGTGAAAAAATTTAAAGTCACCCCTAACCCATTATAATAGTTGAAATTAGAATAATTTAGTAACTAATGTGTAAGTAAAATGAAAAGCTGCTCCATTAAGAGTCTCCTATTCATTTTTATTTGTCAGAATTTTAAAACTCTACTTTAAAATGTTACATTTTTATAGGAGTCAGGGATGCAGCAATTTTTAAGAACTCTACAAAATAATATAACTCAATAAGTATCTTCTTTATTATTTAACTTTGTTTCACCCTGTCTTGCAAAAGTAACACTACCCTCCAGGTTGATGATTTTACATATTAATGTACTGAAATAATCTCCCAGAATACTTCTTTCTTTCTTTCTTTTTTTTAAACAATTCATCATACTCTTATTATATACCCTGTTGTTGTCAAGTGCCGTCAAGTCAGTTCTGACTCAGAGAGAACCCTGTATAGAGTTTCCAACTGCCAGCTTGGTGCTTAAGAGTCCAGTGCTTATTCTACATTGCTGCACCAGGACTACTGTTATACAATACAGATAGGAAATATTGCTAAATATAGGAAAATCTGCTTTGAAATACTCATGGTCAAAACTACTATGTTTTAGTGAGACGAAGTCTTAGAACAACAGGAAACTATTCTCTCATAGATCTGTAGTCCAAAATAAGTGTGTCAGTCATAGTAATTCCTTCAGATGTTCTAAGGGAGAATCTTTCTTTCCCAAATTCTGGTGATCCAGAGTTCCTTAACATGGAAAAATGCTGGGTAGCAAGTGACATTTGTGTTCTGTTACAAGGGCTCATACTTAGCACTTGGTTTTGTTCTTAAAATTTCTTAGATATTATTCTTAACCATTTTTGTTTCAAGACCCCTTTTTAATCTTAATTATTGAGGACTCCTAAGAGCCTTTGTTTTTGTCAACTACATCCATTGATATTTACCTTATTAGAAATTAAAACTGGGGAAAATGTTAAATATTTATTTGTTGATTCATTTTAACTTAATAACTCATTTCCCATTAACATTTTTTTTTCAAAATAGCACTTTTAGTGAAAAATAACAATGTTTTATAAATAAATTGTCAGAAGAGCGTGGTATTGTATTTTAAGTATACAATAAGTAGATAATAGTATTAAGCCATAGTGTATGATTATCTTAACATTATTTTTAAAATTTCTCTTAGCATTAAAGTTTTCTGCTTTCCCATTTTGACTTAAATACTTCACCTTGAAGTGAATTATTTTATAACTTATGAAATATAATACATTCCTCTGTGTCACAATTTTACATTATAAATGATAATATATGCGGTTGTTGTTAAGTACCATGGAATTGGTTGCGACTCATAGACCCTGCACAGGGTTTCTGAGGCTGTAAATCTTTATGGGAGCAAAAAGCCTCATCTTTCTCCCGCGGAACAGCTGGTAGTTTCCAACTGCTGACCTTGAGGTTAGCAGCCCATGTCATAACCACTACACTATGCGGGGCTTCAAAAAAGGCCATGGAAAAATTTCATTATATTTTAACCCCATTTTTCCACGAACATTTTGAACCCTTTTATATATGTAGCACATTTTTCTATCGCTCGTATTGCAACTGAATAAAAGTCAGTCATTACAAGTCTTAAATATTTTCTTTGGATTATACTTGAGTTTCCATACTAGAGAGTGAACACTGACTTGCTGCTCCTGTACAAGTACCTGCTATTATGCAGAAATGGGGTCTTTGACATATTTTTAAGTATGATAAAGTAGATAATCATAATCTCCTTTGTTACCATAATTTTGTTTGGTTAGTTGATATATGATGATAATGAATTATTCATCCATGGAATATTCTTATAGGCCTTCTTTTCTCTTTACTGACTTTATACACTCTTTTGCTTATGATATTTACACTTTGTGATAAGAGTAAACTGTAAAAATATGTACATTTTCCAGCTCAACTTAAATTATAAGATATTCAAAAGCTTTTGTTTTCTGTTTTCTTCAGATGTATGGTCTGCAGGCTGTGTTTTGGCTGAACTGTTACTAGGACAACCAATATTTCCAGGGGACAGTGGTGTGGATCAATTGGTGGAAATAATCAAGGTGAGAAGGTTGAATTTTAGATTGGAAAATTTTGAACTGGGAGCACTTTTAGGGGCCAATCTAAGAATACACATACACTCACAACATGCACAGAAAATTTTCGAAAATGGAGAAAGTGATCCAGGATCACAAATCAAGTGCATCATCTAATAAGCAAAAATAGGAACTCTACATTCTGGTTACTAATTGAATTATTTTTCTGTTGTATAACACTGGAAAAGCTTTCAACTGACTCATGCATTTATTGTTTTAGAGTACTTTAGACTGTAAGATCTTTCTAAACTACCTGTAATCTGAGGAAAAGCAAGAGCTATGTCTGTTTTTCCTTCTCATGTACTCTCTGCTCTTAATGTTCTGCTGCTCACATAGGAGGAAATTGTGGTTATTCTGTATGTAAATATTGATTAAAATGCAAGAACGAATGCTTATATATATAAGTAGATCACTGATAGAAGCCGAATTTTAACAAAGGATTGAATAGGCTTTTATTTATTAGACCAATAAGTATCTGATTCAAAATATTATATCTTGGAATTATTATTGCCTCTTAATGCGGTTTTCATATAATTTCCAGTGTTTCCTTGAATCCAGCATCACATCACTACTTGGGGATGTTGCCCATTTTATATTTGAACAGCCTGAATTTAGTTTTACTTATGAGCCATAACTCCAGTTGTCTCATATCAACTCTTTGTAGGGTTTCCAAGGCTGTAAATTTTTATAGGGGCAGAAAGCCTCACCTTCCTTGCAGAGCAGCTGGTGAATACGAACGGCTGACCTTGCAATTAACGCATAACCCAGTATGATACCAGGGCTCCCTCTAGCTTCCACTAGTTGAACACAGGGCCATTATGAAGTAAATATTTTCACATCTTTATACTTGATGATAAGAAGCTCTGGTAGTGTAGTGGTTACGAATCAGGCTGCTAACCTAACCTCAAGGTCGGCAGTTCAAAACTACCAGCTGTTCCATGGGAGAAAGATGAGCCTTTCTGCCCCAGTAAAGTTTTGCAGCCTCGGAAACCCTGTGCAGGGTCACTGTGAGTCAGAACCAACTCCACGGTACTTAACAACAACAACGTATTTGATGATATAAAATATTTTCTTTTGATTTGATCAAAGGGAAATAATAGTGTGTGATCGTTATTTTCCTTATTATCTGTATAGTTTCTTCTGATTTACAGCTGAGACCACTATGGTATTTCCAATCTTTTTTCAGTAACCAACCATCTTTTAGCTTCAGATTCAACCTTTACCCTTTCTTCAGCAAAGCTACTTCCTGATTTCTGGACTACAGTCAGATAGGTGTGAATAGTACTCTTAAAGCCTCTGTATTCCCCATTATTTAAATTAACGCTCTGATACAGGAGTAAAGTAATTTTAGGTTTTGTAGACCAAAAACAAAAATCAAGTATGGTAGATACTTGGTAACAAAAGGAGGGTTGGGGGGAAAACTTCCATGAAATTTTTAGTGGAAAAATTAAAGATAACAATTACATTTTTCTAAAACAGTTCTAGTAATGAATGAATGAAACCCTTTTTTGGTGGGCAGAGTGTAAGCTGTAACATTTCTCTTTAATTAAGGCTCAAAGTACGTATTCCTTATCTGATTGATTGCAGATGATCTTCTTTAAAAACCAGTTCTTTCTTATATCATGGTTCCATCAGAAACAGAGTGAGCCATAGTTTGCTGATTTGGGCTCTAGTACAACCATTCAGCATTTTTTATATTCCCAGATTTTCATTTGATGAACTTGATACTCAAGTCCACCCAACTTCAATTCTCTAGTTATAGTACTAATTATTTGTCATATGCAGACATATGTTGAAGATAGAAGGTACTTCAAAAAATTCAAAGAAAAATGAAATTTAAAATATTAGAATTTAGACTAGGAATAACCGGTGATACATGGAGGGGATTGTAATCATTGCAATGAAACAAAATATGATAGATTGAGAATGAAACCAATGTTTTCCCATGTAAACTATCACTCAATTCACAATAAAAGATTAAAAAAAACAAAAACCTAACAACAGCAGTATACTATTCCAGAACACTTAATTGTGCACAAAGGTGCATTTACTTAGACCAAGAGGTAGTCATTCAAACATAACAAGGGGACACGGAATGGTTTAAAATTAGGAAAGGTGTGCACCATACTTATTCATTCTGTATAATGAGCACATAATCTGAGAAGCTGAATTACCTGATGGAATCAGCTTTGGAGGAAGACTCATCAACAACCTGTGATATATAGGTGATACCACCTTCCTTGCTCACAACAAAGAGGACTTGAAATACTTACTGATGAAGATCAAAGACCATAGCTGTAAGTAGGGATTGCACTTCAGTGTAAACACAACAAATTGCTTGCCGCTGGAGCAATAAATAACATGATAAATGAGAAAAGATTGAAATTATCAAAGATGTCATTTTGTTTGAATCCACATTCAGCACCCTTGGAAGCAGCATTCAATAAATCAAATAATGTATTGCATTAGGCAATAGGCAAATCTGCTGCACAAGACCTCTTTAATGTGTTGAAAGCAAAGATGTCAATTTAAGGACTAAGGTGCACCTGACCCAAACCATGATATTTTCAGTAATCTCATGTGCATGTGAAAGTTGGACAGTGAATAAGGAAGATCACAGAAGAATCTGAATTTGTGTTGTGGTGTTGGCAAAGAGTATTGAAAGGCCATGGACTGCCAAAACAAATCGGTATTGAAAGTGTACAACCAAAATATTCCTCCGAAGGGAGGATAGAGAGATTTTGTCTCTCATACTTTGGACATATTACTGTGTGGCACCTTCCCCTAGAGAAGGACATCATGCTTCATGAAGTGGAGGAGCAATGGAAAAGAGGAAGACTCCGAACAAGATGGATTGGTGGCAATAGCTATGGGCTCAAGCCTAACAAAGATCTTGAGGATGGTGCAGGAGCAGGCGGTGTTTCGTTCTGTTGTTTGTAGGGTTAGTATGAGTTGGAACCAACTCAACCTCACCTAACAACAACAACAACAGTATTTTAGTGTAAAGCAGCAGCTTTCAAGAGGGACAGGAACAAAAACTTAATCAGATTGGCAACCAATTATATTTTAGACAGTGAATTCAGGACCTCTGTTTTACTAAAGGAATCCCTGCTTCCTTTTGCTGCAAATTGGTAAGGATTTATGGAGCAATGATTCTTAACAGTTGGAAAGTGAAAAAATTACAAAGAAGTACTACAATCTTGTTTTGGGGCAGTTATAGCTTATAAAAACATAATGTTGCTTCATATTCATAAAAATTTTTCATTTTATTGACACATTAAATACAAGGAAACAAAATCTTGACTCAGGTGCTACAAAGAACTATAGATTCGTGGTTTTCAAAGGAAGCAAGAGTGGCATGTATGTAAATATTTTATGTGTCTCAAAAGGAGAAGGGGTTATGTAGTCTTTTAAAGTTTGGGAACCATGCTTTTTTTTTTTTTAATCCCATATTTTCTGACACACACTTCTATTTTCAACTTCATCTTCCTCAGACATACCACTTTGAGGAAATCATCTTTTGACTCCTGTAATCTTTTTATCCAAGAACAATTTTATGCTTTATACTCAGTATGTTACATAATTAGAGTATTCAACTTTTGGGATAAGAAAGAGACTCTTTTCCAAATATAAAATTTGATTTAAAATGAAATACAAGGGCCAAGCAATCTCAAAAAAGAAGAGCATTGAGTTGGAGGGCTCATGCTCCTCTTTTTCAAAACTCATTACACACCTGCAGTGTATTAGGCAGGATGGTGATGGTACTGGCATACAGATACCCGTGTAGATTAATGAATGGAATTCAGAGTCCAAAAATAAACCATGACTTTTGTTATGGTTTCCATCAATAGATTTCCATCAAGGATATCAGGAAAATTCTGTATGAAGGAATTGTTTTTGTAAAAATGGTACTTGATCTATGTATAGTGAGCTAAAAGAGTAACGTTGGACTGAGTTCATACCACACTATTTACAAAAATTAACCCACAATGGATCAGAGATCTAAATTGTTGTTGTCAGGTGCCATCGAGTCGCAACCAATTCATAGTGACCCCATGCGCAGCAGAACGAAACAATGTCCGATCCTGGGCCAACCTCACTACCACTGCCACACTTGACGCCATCAATGATGCCACCTGGAGATCTAAATAGAAGAGCCAAAACTATACAACTCATGGAAGGAAAACCAAGTGTAAATCTTCATATTTAGGCAGTGGTTTCTCAGATGTGACTCAGAAATATAAGCAACCATAGATAAATTGGACTTCATAAAAATTTTAAAACTTTGTGTTTCAAAGACTACCATCAAGAAAATGAAAAGACAAGTTTTCAGAACTTATCAAACTAAAATAGATAATTTTTCTAATCCTGTGTCTGTTATGGTGCTGTGGGTTAATGTGCCACACTGCAAAGCCATTTGAACTGCAAGGTCAGCGGGTCCTTGGAAACCCTATATAGGGTCGCTATGGGTCGGAACCAACTTGATGGCACTTAACAACAACAACATCTCTGTTAAAGTATTTTGTCTAAAATATACAAGGCACTTTTATAAGTCAACAATTAAAAAGCCCAATTTTTTAAAAAATCAAAGGAGCTGAATAGGCATTTCTCCAAAAATGATGTAAACATGGCTAGTTAGCACATGAAAAGATGCTCAATCTGATTAATCCTTGTTGTTAGGTGCCTCAGCTCCATTTCAGAGTGACTCCATGCACAACAGAATGAAGTACTGCCTGTTATGTTTGAGCCCATTGGTGGAGCCTCTGTCAATGTATTTCATTGGAGGTGTTCCTCTCTTCTGCTGCCCTGTTCCTTTACCAAACATAATGTTCTTTTCCCAGGATGGGTCCCTTTGGATAACATACATACATTTCCAAAGTCAGTGATAAAAAGTCTTGCCATCATCACTTCTTAGGTGCATTGTGATTGTACTTCCAAATCAAGTTTGTTCTTTTGACAATCTGTGT